CTGTAAATAGATGTGACATCACTATACAAAAGCTGCTCAAAAATGGCTATGGATATTTACTACACTCATTACAACTGTTTTAGTTAGTCCTTCCTACTTCCTGCTAATATTAAATAGTCTATTAACACAGAACTTTGCTTCTTCTCCTTGACTTACGAAGAAACAGAAGTTAAATACTAGAAGGCATAATTCTCTGATACTTTATATATGGGTTTCACATTGGTGCAAATAAATCAGATGCTGGGAGTTTTGCATGCAGAGCTGCTAAAGAACTACTGTGCACAGTGTAACTATTAGGGTTACACTAAAAATTGTACCTACAGGGTTGTTCATACTCTTCCCTGGTTTAATCACTGCACATTAACCTAGAAATGTCTGTTATTCCTTCTGTGTTTCAGAGGAGACACAAAATACTTGAATGAGACCCTATTTTTCACCTGTAGCACTTTTTTTGGCCTAAATAGTATTTGAGTCAGAGTATTGCAAACAGGTATTCATTAAATCTTTTCTTTCCCTTCCCAGGGATTTCTGTAATATTCTGCATAAATATATAAAAATATTTTTAATTTTCAAAGGATTGTGACTTCACTATATTGATGAGAGTAATAGAGTCTACTGGGCAACTTTGAGTTAGGACTTAGGAACATAGATATCTGGACACTGGGAGGATGAAAAAAGTAAAATGGCATTTTTTGCATCCAATCAAATAAATAGCATGATGGTGATTGATTACCTATAGAGTTGTAGAGAAGAAAGCAATATTAAATTTACCATTACTGCTTACTGCGTATGGATGAGGTACCAATTTCTACATGTTGGTCTGGCAAGTTACAGGCTCTGTAAAATGGGTGGATTCAGGTCTTGGTCTGATTGATACATTCGCTGGATTAACAAGGGGTTCTGCTGTATAAACATGTTTAAAACTTGAATTATTTGGCCTTTCTATATGCCTTTGTAGCTACATTGGCAAGTTAACCCTGAAGTTCAAACCTGTTAGGTACTGGAGAAGGCAACTATCTGCTGTTTGGAGCCACATAGGTTTGAACTTCAGGGTTAACTTGCCAGTTAGGTACTGGAGAAGGCAACTATCTGCTGTGCTGTGTAGTGGGAGCAGTTAAAGTAGTTGTTTCTGGTCTCTTCACTCATACTTTTCAATATAATAAAACCGAAACAAACTGGAAATTCAGTTGCTTCAGTGCTTCTCTTGGGCAATTTTCTTTTCAAGGTCGCATAGAAACTGTATTTCCAGTATTGTGGGATCTGTTGACTTCAATGGAGTTTGCTGCTAATGGGAGCAAAGGCAGGGTTTCACCTTGTAACTATAAATGCTGTAAGGGAATATACTTAGCAATGACCTAAGGTCTTTCTAGAGCTACTGACCTCATGTTTCTAGACTCCCATTGGCTTGTGCACTGCTTTTTCAAATGCATGGGAAGCACCTCGTGTTCCTGTCCAGGTCTGTACATCAGCAGTTAAAAGACAACTAGTAAATAGCAGGCATTGCAGAATGACAGCATGCTTTGCTTTGACACTGGTGACAGAATGTTAAGCCTGCTGGTGTGACCCTTCACTGAGCTTGAGATATAGATCATTACCTAGAACTGCTCGTGAATTGGTCTTCCTGGCTTGTTGTTGTCTTGTGGCTTTTCTTGTTTTAAGAGGCATTTGCCTCAACAGCAAATGCATGGCTCACTGCAGTGGAAATTATTGCTTTTTTAGGGACACTCTGGTTACCTTACCTTTTTGTCTGTAATGTAGCCCAATCCTGCAACAAACTTTATTTCATGTGGACTGACTGATAATTTTTTTAATCTGTTAACACAGCTTCCAGGTTGTAGCATTAAAAGAAATCTTAATAAAAACCAAGATGTGTGCTACATATCCTGCCTAGATAAAGGGAAATTGGTTTGGTACATAATTTCTTAGAAAAATATGTGAATATCTGAGGCTTTTAATCAATTTGTTTTGGTCTCTTTCTAGATATTAAACTGGCTGGCCACTAATTCCCCTGGTCTCTTGTCCTCTGGCCTTAAGGACAAAGCACTGCCTAGTCCTGTGGGTTCTCACTTATCAATTTGTAGAGGAGTATATAAGAACGAAAGGTCAAAGAAGTTCTTTAATCTCTTCCTCAAACAGTGTAGGAAGGATTTCAGCAGGCAACTGATTTGAATATAGTTGGTTTACATGGATATGACTTTAGTATTTCTCTACTTTTTGACTGAAACAGTAGTGTGTCAAGCTTTTCCTGAAGTGTCAATGACTTGCTAGTCATATTACAATGACCTCTCTCTTCCCTTTTTTCATCCCCTTTGCAAAGAGGGGATTTTACCCCTTAACCACCCAGATTGTTTTTATGTTTGTGGGACTGCACCAACCAGTTGATGTTACCAGGCTAGCTTTTATAGAAAAAGACTATTAAAGCACAGTACTTCCTCCTTCTTACAGTTCTTACAGTGAAGCAGTGCTTCAGTGATGTCCCAGATCCTGCAGTGAGTCACCCAGCAAACATAAAGGATAAACCACATGACATTTGATTGCATATTCCAATTTACTTATAGGTCTGTAAGAGGAGATGCAGCCGTGGGTTTAAGCTAACTTTGCACTGGAAGGGCACATGTACTTCTGTGGCAATATTACTGTCCAAATTGAGAGCTCTCCCAGTGCTGGCAATATTGATATTGACAAAGGAGTTTAATCTGCTGGAATTTTAACAGTGGCCCCTAGTCTTAACCTTCCTGTAGACCAAGTGACCATTTTAAGCTACACACTGGTGTATTTATTCAGAAGTGTTAGTGGCTTTGCAGTTTCCAACCCATCTATTCTAAAGTCAGAACTGAGCATGAAGCTGCTTTGAGGTACTAGAGCCAGTAGGGGGGAAAAAATAAGTGAATGCTGCTGCTTGCTTACTTGGCTGCTTGTTCCACGTGTTGCTTTTGTTTGAAGAGTTGTTCCTTGCCAGATAGATATTAGTATGGAATAATTCAGTTTTGCAGGCAGAGTCCTAAGTGTAACACTCTCACCCCCCCATCTGTATTTTCCTTAGATCTTACTTCTATGCTGTTGCATTACAGAGGAGTTCTTGTTTTGCTTTTTTTGAAGGAATAGGGCATGGAAACTTTGCCAGCTATGAAGAGGTTGCCTTTGTATGTCTTACCTTTGTGCTTCTGGAGTGGAGGGTGGCTGTAGCAACAGAAAAAAATATCTCAGATTAGCACCAGCAATGCAGGAAGCAGAACATCGCTTTGGAACTTAAGTGTTTTGGGGATGACATTGAAGTGGACTAACTGAGAGCTGTGTGACCAGTGCTAGTTGCCCATATACATAAAACAGGTGTATGATGGGTGATGGAAAAAAAATTGCTGTAAAAGGCAAAACTATGTGCCTAAGAGCTTGAAGAGTTAAGCACTTTGCAACACTTACGTAGTATGTTGTGTATTTTGAGAAATGATGGAGGAAACAGTTGTGTACTCCAAGCAAAATTTATTAGAAGTCTATTCAAGGGAAAAAAAAACACAGAGACCTTTTGCTTGTAGGAATTCAGTCAGTTACCTGAAAGCCAGGTATGAAAAACTTGTATTTTTCTAAAATCAGTTACAGAGTAGAAACAGTACTTTTTAAATATCACAGGCAACGATATTTAAGTATTCAATAATAAACGGCATCAAAGATAGGTATTAATCTCACAGCAAAGCTGCATGCAGATCTAGTTTAAAATTGAAAGCCTTTGAATATAAAGCTTTTGCCATGAAATCTGCAATAATAAAGGTATGCTGCACAAAGATGTTTCTTTACCTTTGTCTTAACGACATTTCTCAGTAATAAAGACATATGTACATTTAGATTTGGCTGGTAAACCATATTTTAATTAATAAAATTTTGCATAAAATGCTATCTTACAGAATTGCACTATCCAGATGTGCTTATGGTAAATAGAGCAAGAAAAGAAATACGCATTGAAATGTTCTGTATGGGAAGAGGGCAAAGATCAAATAAGTAACTTAATTTTTTTTAAAAATCAACAACCAAATGGCTCTGTACAAAAAAGCAAACATATGTACAAAATGCTACAGAGACTACATACATTTTGATAATTTCAATCCTTTACCCTTGAGAAATGCAGTAGAAGCTTTTGCCATCTATAAGGTGCTGAAAAAACCAAATCTGAATTTTTATTTTTATGAAGCCATAGTAATTATCATCCTGTGCCTTAATTTCATTCACTATTTAAGCTTACTTTTGCTTATGGAAAATGTATCTTTTGAAATACTTGTTTCATTCAGGAAAAAAACAAAACACCACCCTCTAAAATGTATCAGTTTTAATACGTGACACTTTTTTTTTTCCCTGTGCTAAATTCCTAAAAAGAATGTGTAACTCAGGTTCCCTTAACATACATATCTATACATATAGTGAAGCAAATCAGTATGTGATATTCGTGAATATTTTTCAGGTGGCTATGTTAAAGAAAAAAACCCCCAACCAATAACCCTTTGCACTAACACTGTTTACCTCCTGCTTCTTAAAATTCCTGTGATATGTAAAAACACTAACCTCTCATATTTCATGTTGCTCACTATTACAACATTTTCATTACAACCACTTAATCTCAGACCTCAGTAGCAGGTTATTATTGTCTATGCTTATATCATTGTCTATCTCTTCATCAAGTCCTCCTTCCCAAGATCTTACGCCTCTTGCGCTTCTTACCTTTTAACAGAAAACGCTACAGCTTAATAAGGGAAAGAAAAAATGTTTAAAAAAAGGTTTAGCCAATACTGTTGCACCCGTTCAAAACACTTGCAGTTCTTTCATGTTTCACTACGCTTGCTTGAGATTTTACAATCACTGTGCATATGTTACAACATACAAGTGCAGGCAAAAATTCTATATTATAATTTGTCATACACTGTAAACCAGTACAATAGGCAAACCTGTGATACGGCAAAGTGAAAGCAACAAATGCTGCCAAGCTAATAAGAATGTGGAAACTTTTTTTAAAAAAACAGTAGACAGCAACTTCCCCCTGTATTACATGCATACTGAAAAAAATCCCACCAGGCTTCATGATAGTAACACAAATGTCCAAGCCAAAACCAGTTTCTCCTCCTGTCCCATCCCCCTTTCTCCCCAACTCCCCCCTCCCCAGCAATTCACCTGTGTACCTGTCATCAGGCTTTTCCTACTGTGTTTCAAATGAAAATACTTTAAAGCAGGGAGTATTTAAATGTTGAAACGATTCCTCTTGTTTCAGAAAAGCTTAGTTATTCACATCGTGGTTGTTGCTGTAATACTGCTGGAACGGTTTGGCAGGTGGGATGGGATGAGGATGAACTAGATGGCCTCTATCTGAGACTGCAAGCAAGAAAACAGAAGGGCAGCGTAGCATGTTTTCTGGCAGCTTTATGCAGATGTGTTGCAGAGATGCAGCATAAATAAGTAGGGAAAAAAATTCACAGCCTCTTGACATAGTTCCCAGGGAAAGTACCAAAGAATTTGGTTCTTCTTGAAGTTCCTGAAATTAGAAGCAATAAATGAAAGATGGGAATAACAACAGGATATCGCTACGTAAGCATGGCCTTGACATTTTTGTTTCATATTGCACAAACACAAATATCTACAGTTCTTTGTATTGTAACTTAGAAAAGTTATTTTGAATTTCATTTGTGAGTTGTGAATTTTAACAAATTGTAACTCCAGGAAGGAAAAAGCAAATAAGGACGTTTGATTAAATTGTTAGGCCTGATTAAAATATGTGCTAAGATTTTGACTTGGTAAACAGAAATAGTATAATTTCAACAACATTGAGTCTATTTAAATCTGAATTTTTAAAATGCTGAGGACTAGATGATTAAGTTAGCGATTGTGTGCATGATGGTTTATGGAATGATTAAGCCACCTTATCCAGGCCGAGTTATGAAATGTCTGTTTGTTCAGTAATACTTGGTTCTCACAAGTAGTGAACTCTGTAGATGCATTAATGCAAGTTAGTTTCATGTTACCTGGTCTTTATGAAGAGAACAGCAATACATGGTCCATTTTGTGTCATGCGAGAATGATAAAAGTGCTGTACAACAAATTGGAGGCAGATGCCAATTTGTGTCCATCACTTTCCGAAAGACAAAAATGAAAAATCGCCCACTGATTTCCATGGGTTTTGGTTGGGATTTCTCCTGATAAAGCCAGGTTTAGATTACATCAAATACCAAAGAAACGATTTGTTTAAAAGGCACCAAGCAAAGAGCTCAGAAAATGTTAGTAAGAAAAACATAAATGAAAAAGCAACCAGTTAAAACATACCCACAAACCATCCATCATCACATTTTTCCATCACATCAATGACATCTCCCTCTCTGAGCTCCAATTCATCTTCGTTCCTAGGAGTATAGTTATATAGAGCCTGAAACCTTAAATAGGACAAATGATGCATTTTAAAAAGAAGTAAGAGTTCTTTACACCTCTGCTGAAGTAAAGGAGCTGGTTTAAACATTAACTAATAAGAACCCTTTTTGAAAGCATAGGGAAAAGGGTCTATTTTGTCTGGTGGACTTCAGAGCTAGGTACATAGTAAATAAATAAAACTTTGCTGGAAAGGTAACTCATCAGACACTGAGGACTCAAGGCAAGCCTGATAACTCCTACCAGTTACTTTGAACATAGAATGCTAGTACTATTTCACTAATTTATTTATTTATCTATTTATTTTTAGCATTATTTTGTAGAGGCATCACCAAAACAGAGGACTCCTAGAGGGGAGTCTGTAGATGCACTAGCCCCTTAACCCCATATGATCATAACCCAAAGCTGTGACTCTGCCTTTAAGCTCCAGAAGGCTGGCCCTAGTATATGCATTCTCTGCATTCTCTGCAGACCAAGTGCCATAAGCCTCTTCTGTAGTTGGTGCAGGAAGGTGCTCAGGAGAGGGGCTCATACACACCATGTCTGGGGGACCTCCCTGTGCCTCTCATTAGCAACTGCTTGGGCAAGGCTTGGCACTGTGTGAGCTCTGTGTGTATAAGAGGTGCCTTCCTTTGTGGGAAGGTGGAGAGTAATCCCTATTTTAAAAGATACAGCCATAACCCCTTCCCTGGTTAAAACTGCTCCTGAGATAGATATAGAGATAGATATGTATAGATATAAAAACTATGTGTGTGTGTATATATAAATATAAATATATATATATAAAATGTCTGGGAGTGATAGAGAGGCTTGAATCAAACTAGGGACATAAGAACAGAATCTCAAAGGGTATTCAGACATTGACGTGTACCTCTACCCCAGGCCACAGGCTGCAGGTTGAATGATCTGAGATGGATAAATGGTAAAAGGTATGAGATTACTGAATTTGTTATCTTTCATTCCTTGTCAGCTTTTAATAGACTATCTTGGAATGGAAAGAATGGCAATAAACTCTTAACAGGGGGAACTGAAGGTGCTGACAGCCCACAGGAAGGATTGCTGCGAAAGCCCAAGTCCTGCACAGTCAGCATCTGCCTTGTTTTCTCAGCACCTGTGCTGCCATTACGCTTCCCCCAGTTAAAAAAAAAAAACACCAAAAAAACTCCCCATTGACTTTTTGGTGCTGAATATCTCCATTAGCTCTCTATCATTCAGGCAAAGTTTCCATGAAATGCTTATTTCCATAAAAAATTCCTGCTCTTGAAATTTCTATTTGAAAATCCTGTATACAAACTGGTTCTAGGCTTAGTGTAATGATGATTGTCTTGAATAAACGACACATACTTTTCATTTGCTGGTTTGGAGAAAAAAAAGACACTGTTCCATGAGAAAAAAATATTTTAACTTGATCTCTTATGACTGGCAGTTATGTCCCCAAATCTGAAAATCTGATTTTTTATTTTAATCACACTAACAACATGGAACAGGACTGGTTATTTAAGCAATTATGTCCAGTAATTTGTGTAGCACAAGTAAGAACAATCTGCAAAAAATTAAATAGCAATAACTTTTCTGTCAGGCTTATCATTATTTCAGGAAAGCTGAGCTATGATGATATTTCAAGATTGCTTAAATGCAGCTTCCAAATGTAGAGGAGTTACAGATGTAGTGTGTCATGAATAAGATTTAAGCCAAATACTTACTCCAATACAGTAACAAAAGCTTCCCAATTAGCACTCTTTGTACTTTTGAAATCTAATCTTGGTAATTTCCAGATAATCCATTTTAATAACTCCTTTGTAGTAATTTCATTCTCTTTGCTCTTCATGCTCTCTTATTTCTTAAATATGAAAAATCTACTACCATTTACAACACTAACAATACATATTCAAGACAAAGAATGTTTGGTTGGCAATTGATATATATTTATATTTTTAATTTTAGGAATAAGTAACTTTAGTAATGAACTTCTTAAAATATATTGAAAAAAATTAGATAACAATTTCTTACAAAACAGTGTTAGGTGCTTCATTATGCTCAACAAAACCAACAGGAACTTGTGGTTTTAGTGATATTGAGACCAAAATGTTCAATTTTCATTATATATTATCTGTGGTATTGTTATTTGCCCTTCTCTTGCCCCTTTTTTCAAGTGACTGACAGGTAAACTTTCCAATATTTTTAAATGCTAAGCCTAGTTACATTAAGGAGAATCCACCTAATAGGGGCATACTCTAAAGAGCTCTGATGCTAGGGAAGGAATGGCTGCTGGTTTCAATGATTGCTGAGGCAGGCACTGACTGCAAGACTCAGGGCAGGGCACGGGGCAGGCGCGAAGGAGGGCAGAGAATCAAAATGACCTTGCACCAAATTTGCAGTATACTAGGCAGCAGTGAAATAGCCTTACATGGCTTATCCCAGGTTCCATTGTTTGTGAAAATAAGCCTTGAGATCTAGGTTCTTCTCCAGTTTTTAGAAAGAGTTTCTTGTATCTTGTAATTTTTTAATTGCACGTGTAAATTGCACCAAAGAGTGTGAGCCTATGTTGCTGTGATCAACATTATCAAGTTATTTTTTTAATCTCTGTTCACACCTGTTTCTGAATAATTTGTGTGGAGTCAGTAAAACAGATGACTTGGGACAATGACAAATCTTTAATTGGCATTCTGCTGAGATGTAGTAATGGAGAAAATACAATCCTCAAACTTTATTTTTTACAAAATATCCCTTTTAAGTATAAATGATGGAGAACTGTAAGTTGGCACATCTGTCTGAATTTGATGTGAATTAAACAAGTAAAACTTTGCCCTCTGGCACCTTCTTGGATATATTCCTACATCATGCACTTCTCTGTAAATTTCTGAAATCTCTTCATAGTTGTACTGTGCAGGTTAACAAATGATTTGAGGATGTGCTGGCTATTACTGGAGTGTTAAGTGTTAGTTTAGTAGACAAGAAGCATACTTACGGTTCCCCCCCACTGTGTATGTTTTCATGAGCAAGCACAGGGCGCTGTGGCTGAAATGAAATGATTTGAAATGTAATAAAGATTTGGAATCTACGGTCCGAATATTTGAATAGGGGCATGATAGATAGTTGCTTGAGAGTTCATATTCTGCCTTGCAGAAAATAACACCCCTCCTGCCCCCATTCCAACTCACAAAAAATTCTTAAGAGAAGTGGGAAGCAACGGAATCTTGGCAGGTTTAAAGATCTCATTTTTTGAGGACGTAATAAAAGCAAAAGCAAAACTGAACTATATCAACAGTCCATTCTATTTATAGTATAGCAGAAAGTTGGAATAGAACCCTGCTGCCTCTTCACTGTGAAACAGAAATAGCATTAAAAAAAATGGGTGCACCTGCTGAA